AAGTGCTTTCGTGAATCTTGCCCCAGACCTGTTGGCTCGTGAATTAGGAAGTTCTCCAGGCACACAGCTCCTTATGTAAGTCAAGCAGCGGAGTTCCCGGTAACTAGAAGAACTAATAATGTAACCTAATGTAGCCTGTATGTAGCCTATACCTAGCCTGTATGTAGCCTGTATGTAGCCTATATGTAGCCTGTATTGTGTGATTTGATTTCCTTCCGGGAGATGAACGTTTACATTTATGTAGAGTTGCTATCTTGAGATCTTGAGGTTATCTTGAGATGATTTCGGGGCTTAGGTCCCCCGCGGCCCTGTCCTCAACCAGGCCTCCTTTTTGTTACATGCCCTCAGGAAGCAGCCCGTAACAGCTGTCTAACACCCAGGTGCCTATTTACTGCTAGATGAACAGGTGCATCGGGGTGAAAGAAACTCTGCCCATATGTTTCCGCCTCCACCGGAGATCGAACCCGGAACCTAAGGACTAGGAATCCCGAGCGCAGTCCACTCAGCTACCTTGAGGAAGGATGAAGGTTTCATCCCAAAATTTTTCTTTTAATACACCTACACATTGGGTCTTCCCTTCCTCTTCACTCAAGCACTAGATCATTGTAGCAAGTTTTTCCATAATCAATAATGTTGACCTTCAAGCTTAAAAGGTTGTTTTAGATTCAGCTACTGGGAACAACAAGTTCCAAGTAGCACGGGATATGGTGATCCCGTAGTGGACTTTCTGGCACAGGAGCAGGGGCTGTGTGTGTGTGTGTGTGTGTGTGTGTGTGTGTGTGTGTGTGTGTGTGTGTGTGTGTCAGTTTAAGGGGAAGGTTGGGTTAAGAATGTACTCAGCTTTAGCGGGGGGAGGGGGGGGCTTAGAGTTGACACTAGGAGGAAACAAGGTATGTGTTGGTCTGGGAGGTGAGAGGACTGTGTTGTTCTCATCATCTTCATTAATTGATGTATTCTCCTCAGTGGTATTCTTCTCATTGCCTTCATCACTCTCACTATTTTACACTATTCTTTATGGCTTTGATAAATTTCACTATTCCCTGTTTTTCCCCACTCTCTCTCTCTCTCTCTCTCTCTCTCTCTCTCTCTCTCTCTCTCTCTCTCTCTCTCTCTCTCTCTCTCTCTCTCTCTCTCTCTCTCTCTCTCTCTCTCTCTCTCTCTCACACACACACACACACACACAAGAGATGAATCTCAACTAGAGATTCCAGGAGGTCTTCACATTAGAACGAGGTGAAGTCCTTGAGGTAGGAGAGGTGGCAGTAAACCAGGCAGCCTTGGAAGGGGTCGAAATTACCAGAGATGAGGTTAAAAGGCATCTGTTGGATTTGGACGTGAGAAAGGCTGTTGGTCAAGACGGAATCTCACCATGGGTATTGAAAAAGTGTGCAGAAGCACTTTGCTTGCCACTCTCCATAGTGTATAGTAGGTCACTGGAGACGGGAGACCTGCCAGAAATATGGAAGACTGCTAATGTAGTACCAATATACAAAAAGGGCGACAGGCAAGAGGCACTGAACTACAGACCAGTGTCCTTGACTTGTATACCATGCAAGGTGATGGAGAAGATTGTGAGAAAAAACCTAGTAACACATCTGGAGAGAAGAGACTTCGTGACAAACCACCAACATAGGTTCAAATTATTTAACACAAGGGGACACAGGTGGAAACTGAGTGCCCAAATGAGCCACAGAGATATTAGAACTTTTTCAGAGTCAGAGTAGTTAACAAATGAAATGCATTAGGAAGTGATGTGGTGGAGGCTGACTCCATACACAGTTTCAAATGTAGATATGATAGAGCCCAGTAGGCCCAGGAACCTGTACACCAGTTGATTGACGGTTGAGAGGCGGGACCAAAGAACCAGAGCTCAACCCTGCACCACAATTAGGTGAGTACTAGTACTCACACACACACACACACACACACACACACACACACACACACACACACACACACACACACACACACACACACACACACACACCGGGGGAATATAAATTTGTATTAGTTGTAAGTTGTGTTTTAAAAAACAGTTTGATATAATGGCATCTAGAGAAGATCTGATGGGCAGCCGTGATTAATCACCAGCCGAATGGAATACTAAACACGCTCTGAGTGGCCGCTTAATCTGCTTGACGGCACAATGAGAACAGACGGCTTCGCTGATTGGCTCCCCTGGTCACCATGACTGATCAGTTAAGAGCAGAAGTGCCCTGCTGATTGGCTCTTTCACCTCCATGAGTGAGAGAAGCACCTTTGCTACGGACCATTGCTTAACCCCCCACCCCACCCCCCTCCGGGACCTACGTAATCCAAAGTAATCCTAAGTAATCCCAATCAAGCGGTCTGTTGGTGCCACGGGTTGATGTGGCTGGTTGAGGGAAGATGAAGGACGCGGAGGATTGACTGGGAACGATACCAGTCCGACGGGATAAGATGAGGAGTTCGATCGATTAAAGGACTCAACACTTATCTTCAAGTTATCTTAAGGTTATCATAAAGTGAGATTAAGTGCACTTAGGGGTGAGCAATTTGTAGTTCACGGGTCCAATATGAGAGTGTTGTGTTGGTCAGGGATCTTCTTCAGCAATGATCGTCCCAGCTTAAGACCTGAATGTAAACAGTTTGATTTCGGCGTTCTCTTGGTACATGCAGTCATTCAGTGTTGTGCTGGACCTGTTGTAGCCCCAATGTATCTGCTGTTGTGGACCTGGTGTAGCCCCAATGTATCTGCTGTTGTGGACCTGTTGTAGCCCCAATGTATCTGCTGTTGTGGACCTGGTGTAGCCCCAATGAATAATTCTCACCACACGTACGAACCGCTGGCGAAGACCGCGCTTAAAAAAAAATCCGTTATAACGAAAATAACGATTCTTTCAATTCAAATTAACGGTGCACGATGTTGCGGTCAGTAGTATAAAGGCTGCTGTAGTTCCCCCGCGCGGGAGACGTTGAGAAACTCCTCGCAGCTAATAGTAGGGGATGAGTTCTTGGTTCGGTGTGTGTTTAGTCTATAATTATGAGGTAGTTTGACGTACCAACGACCTTACCTCTGCATATTACCTCTAAGACTCTTGTAATTAAATGCTGAGAGTGGCGGTAATTAGCAAGGTGATGGGTAGCCGAAGACTTGAGATTTAGATGGGGAGGGGGTGGCGGGATGGGAGGGGGGATGGGGAGGGGATGGGGGGTGGGCTGGGGGGTGGGGGGTTAGGAATATCAAGTTGTTTAGAATTGGGATTAATGATGTACTCTTGGATTAATTGTTGGAAAGTAGGGGGTAGAGAGATATCTGGCGAGCAAGAGGACTCATCACACAAGAGGACTCATCACACACAAGAGGACTCATCACACAAGAGGACTCATCACACACAAGAGGACTCATCACGCACAAGAGGACTCATCACGCACAAGAGGACTCATCACGCACAAGAGGACTCATCACGCACAAGAGGACTCGTGGCAACACTCATCACGCACAAGAGGGAGGACTCATCACACACAAGAGGACTCATCACACGACTCATCACACACAAGAGGACTCATCACGCACAAGAGGACTCATCACGCACAAGAGGACTCGTGGCAACAAGAGGACTCATCACGCACAAGAGGACTCATCACACACATGAGGACTCATCACGCACAAGAGGACTCATCACGCACAAGAGGACTCATCACGCACAAGAGGACTCATCACGCACAAGAGGACTCATCACACACATAAGGACTCATCACGCACAAGAGGACTCATCACACACAAGAGGACTCGTGGCAACAAGAGTATTCTATTTCGAGAATATAAATTCATGGCTGTCATATGAAGATAGAAATTGAACTTGCGTTTGAAGATTCCACTCAGGTGAGGCAGGAAGCGGTTAGGCGCGACACCAGGTTCGTTGAGAGGATTACAGTACAGCTGGACACTTTCCACGTACTTAAATGTGGCTATGAATATTACAGGAAAAAAACGACTTGAGTTCGATTTGCGTGAGAGGAAAAAAATACACTGAAAGGGCATTAATAATTCCAAGATTGGTCATAAAAGACTCCAAATGGGCACGAAAAGCACTAGTTATGTACGAAAACACTCCAGAACAGTGTAAAAACACTCATGGAGAGTACAAAACATATCGTATGTGTCAGAAATATTCAAATATTCGCAAGAAGAGCGTTCGTGTAAGTATTGCCGAAGTCAGGCATCCGGATAACCCAGGCTTCACGGGTGCCTAGGGATGGTTAGGGAGAGACTATGGAACAGGACGAGATGGGAGAGGAAGAGACAAAGGGAAGGAAGATGCCTGGCATCTCCAATCTACCGACTCGACCGACTCCCGCCAACAGGCTTCGTACCCGCGCTTGAAAATCTCCCGCGGGCTGGCTGCTTCTCTAAGGTTAATTGGCAACATGTTCCATGCAGAGGTCTGTAACCCAATTTCCAAAGCCAGTAGTGACCTATTCCTTGGCAACACTGTAACATTTCAAGTATATATATATGCTCTCTGACTCTTACGTTTTTTCTGGGAAATGTAAGAGTTTCCGTAGTCACATATGACACTGTACAGGTTTCCATAGTCACATATGACACCTGTATACGGCTGAGGAGTTTAAAGATTCGGCTCACGCTACGGCCCATCTCCAACCAGTCCTCCAACGTACGAAATCAGGGGTGCTATGAAAAGTAGCGGTGTACAGATGTCTACTCTTCTCTCTCTCTCTCTCTCTCTCTCTCCGTGGGTGGGTTAGGTTAGGTGGGTGGCTTGGGTTTGTGCATCGGCCGGGGATCGATCCCCGGCGATGGCGGAAACAAATGGGCAGAGGTTCCTTCATCCTGATGTTGGCGAGTACAAGTGCATCTCCCTCTGCTGGACAGCCCATGTTGCGTGCAACGCAGCAAAGCAACAAACTGTGATGCCAGGGAACATTCACGTCCCCACACACCTGGAAAATCAACTGGAACGCTGGAAATGTAACTCAGTTGAAGTGCTTTTAGAGTTTTATGCCTCTGAAGACCTCAGGACACAGAGTGACACATTCTGACACATTGAGTGACACATTCTGACACATTGAGTGACATTCTGACACACTGAGTGAAATTCTGACACATTGAGTGACATTCTGACACACTGAGTGACATATTCTGACACATTGAGTGACACATTCTGACACATTGAGTGACATATTCTGACACACTGAGTGACACATTCTGACACATTGAGTGACACATTCTGACACATTGAGTGACATATTCTGACACATTGAGTGACACATTGAGTGACACATTGAGTGACACATTCTGACACATTGAGTGACACATTCTGACACATTGAGTGACATATTCTGACACATTGAATGACATTCTGACACACTGAGTGACACATTCTGACACATTGAGTGACACATTCTGACACATTAAGTGACATATTCTGACACATTGAGTGACAAATTCTGACACATTGAGTGACACATTCTGACACATTGAGTGACACATTGACTGACACATTGAGTGACACATTCTGACACATTGAGTGACACATTCTGACACATTGAGTGACACATTCTGACACATTGAGTGACACATTCTGACACATTGAGTGACACATTCTGACACATTGAGTGACATTCTGACACATTGAGTGACACATTGAGTGACACATTCTGACACATTGAGTGACACATTCTGACACATTGAGTGACACATTCTGACACATTGAGTGACATTCTGACACATTGAGTGACACATTGAGTGACACATTCTGACACATTGAGTGACACATTCTGACACATTGAGTGACACATTCTGACACATTGAGTGACATTCTGACACATTGAGTGACACATTCTGACACATTCTGACACATTGAGTGACACATTCTGACACATTCTGACACATTGAGTAACACATTGAGTGACGGGAAGAGAATGACACTAACGAGGGCACACGGTAGAGGTCAAGCTACTGGGCCCCGGCTATATTGTAAAGTAAGGGGTGATTGATGAAGATTAAGCCACCCAAGAGGTGGCACGGGCATGAATAACCCCGTACCTCAGATACGATACGACACGTACGTAGCCTCCCGTGCCCAAACGTGTCAATACTTCTCCTGGTGTGTGGTTTGGTCTTGTTAATACTTCCTCTCCTCACATAAATGCGGCCATTCTTAGCATATCCCACTACGGGCTCACCATAGCCCGTGCTACTTGGAACTTTTTCTTCCAGGTAGCGAATCCTAAACAACAACAACTTAGCATATTAAATTAGTCATATCACATACAATAGTGATACCACTTGTCAATTAAAGATATTGCAATTACTTTGCAAGAATTTTATCGAGGGTAAATTATGTCATTTGCCACAATTAGACATTGATTTCCAGCTCGTTTGCAGGGTATTGTATCACTCTTGTATTTCCCCTCTATTATTGCCGTCAGAGATAAAAAAAAAATCAGTTTTTTCCCATTGCCAGACATGATTTTGTGCATATGCATAAAATTGTTAATTATTGCTTGAAGAAAAGTACACCTGGATCCTTCTCTATCTAAATATTGCTATCTTTGTCGAATGTAGTTGTGCTACATTTAGCGTTCACCGCTAACTCCGACCTGCACACGTCTGCTAGCATAGTTAAAGACTGCATCGTTGCTACTGTACAGTTACGGGCTCACCATAGCCCGTGCTACATGGACACTTCGTCCTGAGTAGCTAAATCTTTTAACAACAACAACATACTGTACAGACCATTTGGTCACCATTTGGTCCGGGAGACATCTCCCGTCACGCAGGGTGCAGTCGCACCTCCACACATCTCCAGTATCAGCTCTTGATACTGGTAATGGCTCAAAAGGGCCACCACTTACGGGCTATTCATGCCCGTGCCACCTCTTGGGTGGCTTAATCTTCATCATCAGCTACTGTGCATCAGGAGCAGTCTTCCCTGGAAGCTGTTTACCTCAATGTGGTCTTTATCTTCCTGTTAACAGGTTGGTCTGTGGGGGCCGAGTGCATGCATCAGTTAACTCCAGACGCACTTGTAAACATTGGATTTTCTCGGTCTGTTGACCTCGTTCCTTGAGTGAAAGATGCCTCACGTGACGAGTGGGACGAGGTCACTCCCTGTGTTTGTCACTGGCACTGGCACTTAACCTGCAGGCACTGAGCAACACGGACACTCTCAACAAGACGAAATTGATTTTGATTGTTGCGGTTTATTGTGCACCCCATACTCATCCTGTGAGCGATAGCGCAAAAAAAGGCATTACAGCATTATTTATATTTATTGATTTATTGTTATTATACCTTATTGACCACAGTCCAAGATGTGATGCTGTAGTGGTGCTGCTGCCCTCCCCCTAAGATGTGGGGGTAGGGGGGGAGATGGGCTAGTATGGGGGGGGGGATGTTGGGCTAGTGTGGAGGGGGGGAAGTTGAGCTAGTGTGGGGGAGGATGGGCTGTGTGTGTGGGGGGGGGGGAGGGAGGGAGGGAGGGGGGGAAGAGGTTGGGGTGGAACATCTCGTTGAAATTCAAGTCGCACATGGAGAAGCTCCTCCCACTCACTACTGAGAGCTATCACTCTCATTTTTGTTGTGAGGCATCAGCTGTTACTCTTGACTCCCCCCCTCCCCCCCCTCCCCCCCTCCTCTAATGTCCCCCCCCCCC